AAAAATAGCACTATGTATAAGCTGCCTGGGCTGCTGTTCCAGCTGCTGTAGGGAAAGCTCTTCTGGAGCATGTTCTTGGCTGTATGAGCTGAGGATGCGATACCATAGAGATTGCCCTCCTTCTCCTTGGTGTCCCTCCCTATGCAAAGGTAGGTGTTCCTACCTTTGTGTTGCTGCCTACCATGGGCCTGCTCCTTGGCTAGTTTCCTGGTTACGTGTTCAGCTTTGTGGGTAACCACTGAGTGTAGAGTCTTCTGAGCGGTTTTGGGGAATCGTTCCAAGCTCTCCTACCTTTCAACTCAGTGACATCTTGTCTATTTAGACTTGAGCATTGGTGACAGTGCACATGAAATGCTGTTAGGCTTCTCTGAGAGGTGGTTCTGGTGTGTAGAGACCTTAACTTCTTGAGCAGAAGGTTAATATACCTGGCCCTTGAGGTGACTATTGATGGTCTCCCTTCCTTCTGCTCCTCGGAGCACGTGTCTGAGAACTCAAAACTTTGCATTCTTCATCTATACCTTATTAAGCTCTCTCAAGAAACTCTCAAGTTTCTTGTTCGTTGTCCAGTGTTCCTTATAATCTCTTGATACTCTCTCTCAAGAAACTCTCAAGTTTCTTGTTCATTGTCCACTGTTCCTTATAATCTCTTGATACTTAATTAATTCCTGTACTCTTAGAGAAACTTACCAGCGTTCTTGTGAATTCTGAAATTATCAGCTTACTCGGGCAGAAACCAGGGATGAGATCTCAGTGGAACTGGGAAGGGAATGCTTTGGATTGAGCAGTACTTATGTGTGCTGTCAGTTAATAGCCCTTTTCTGTCTCTCACTTCATATTGTGTGGTGGTTTTGTTCATTAATTTTAAATCACCATTTAAAAAGCTTATCATCTAGCTAATTTAGAGCATTTCAGGACTGCAAGCTGGAAAACCAAATGGTCCAGGTATCCTACTTCAGAACTTTGGCTCATCTTGGAGAGAGCATACTTATCTTAAGTTACTGCTATTCTGTTCTTTTAAAACTGCAGTCAAAAGACTGGTCGCCCTCAGGCATGAGAGAGAAGTCTTTGATGGATCACTGGTCATGTGTGCAAATGACCAAATTTACAATGGGGTAGAACGTACCAAGCTGTTTCTGAGGGAGACTGAATCTAATATGAATGCTGTAAACGAAAAGGCAGGTCACTGAAGTTGGCTCATCTACCATGCTGTGGAAAGCAGAGGGAGTTCAGAATGGCACCTTTTCTTGACCTTAATTAGGCCAAAAAGAAACTTCAGATACTTGAAGAAGTTCTCCATGAAGATATGTTTCACTTGTAATATGAACCTCCCCTTTTCCTGGGGTGTAAGATATGCTGTTGAGTGTAACATCCTTCATGTTCTAGTAACAGACTTCTAGGCTTGCCTTAGAATAGCCATTGAATGAACTTACGAGGATCAATAATGCTTTCTTCTGCAGACTGATTAATGAGTTTTGCTGAGTCTTGCTGTAGAAATGGTGTGTTAAGGTATCAAGTAATTTTGAGGTTACTGACAAAACGAAGTGACAAGTGCTGGGAGGGAAGAGTTGGACAAAACATCTTTTCTGTATCTCTCTGGAGAACTTTATGTAGGGGTGACATCTTCAAGTGTAAATTCTCTAATAGTCACAGTTTTCAGGTAAGGCAAGCGTGAGATGTAAAGAACAATGCTGAAATCACTACAGAGGTATTAAATGATTAGCAAAGCAGGTGCCCCTCAGTCTGGAGGGGGTTGCACCCTTCCTGCTGTGACTTGCTAAGAATGGAAGATACTGAGTCTGAAGTGAACTCAGGTATCAGATGTGACTTTTATCTACTTGTGCTTTAACACGTCAGCTTCAGCTGTGAATGTGTAGAGTCTGATAACAGATCTGCAACTGAACTGTAATTTGTCCATTATGGGGCTGTTGTCTGAGGTGACAATTCTTAGTAGCTCGCTAAAGCTTTTAGCTGCTTGTGCTCATGACTGAATTCAGCAACACTTGAACCTGTTTGCAGAAAGGGGGACAAACTGCTGCATTGACACAGTTATGCCACTTAGCTGTGAGTGCATGAAGTACTTGTAAGGTAAGAGGAGCGTAATACCAGCCTGTTCCTGAACAGGAAAAACAGGGCGTTTCTCACTGCCCAACACAGCAGTTGAACAGGGTCCGTAGTGCTGCATGGTGCGGCAGTGTGTTAAAGCTAGCTATGCCACACTGCCAGGGGATGGGAGTCAGCGCGGAGAGACTGTGCGGAGCACTGCTGGCTTTCTGAAGGCCTCTAATAGTAAGTACAATCTTCCCTAGAGAAGATGACTGCCAGGAAGGTTTTTTGTAATTCAGTGATGGCAGCCTTTGAACATCTGCTTTGTTGAGTTTCATTTAGAAAACAGCTTAGAGGAGGTATATAAAAAACCCCCACTACTTTGCCTTGCTTCCTGGTTTTTAAGCAGCCACTAGTTTTATCAGGAAAAGGGGTTGTGTAACATCGCTGTAACAGCATGCCTGCCAGAGGCACCGACTTTGTGTCGTGTTGATTAACAAAAGGGGGTTGGACATAGACGTACCTGTTACAGAACATAATTAAGGACGCTTGTGCTTACCTGGATCAAAACCCAGCAGGGGGTGCAGAAGACCTGACTGTCAATGCTGCGTTTGTTTCTGTTCAGAGAACTTTCTCTTATTACCCAAGATTGAGACCAAACAAGTTACACTTTCAGCTGTTGTGTTGGACTAGATGTGTGCCCTAGAGAAATAAGGCTAGGAACTATAATTAGGATCACCTGCTACTTCTTCCTCTTAATATTGTTTATTATCAATGTTACTTCAGTTGTTAGCAGTGTTCATAGGTTTCACAGAGGGCTTTGTATAAATATCTCACGTCTAACGCGGTCTTCAGTTTCAGACTAAACTGGGCAGTTGATCGAACTGGGAAATGGCAAGAGCTGGAGTACCCAAGTCCTGCATATCCAGCCTTTGCTTGTGGGTCCGGCTACGTCATCTCCAAAGACATTGTTCAGTGGCTGGCAAGCAACTCCGAAAGATTAAAGACGTACCAGGTAGTAAAGCGTTGGTTCAGTTTTTCTATCTTAAACTGGTCTGGGGAGCAGCACATGTACTGGATGAGATGGAAAGAACATTGCTCAAGTGTTAGTGCTGGGTTCCCCTGGTTGATGCTGGATTTTTGCAGTGCTTTTGGTCACTATACTTAGTGTCTTTTCTAGGTCAAAGCACAACTGTTTTGGACAGAGAACCTCTGGAGCTGTAACCTTGACTTTTGTACTGTCTTCTTTTGAGAACAATGTATTACAGGAAAGCTGGGAGGAATAATTTAACACCTCTAGAACAGTCAGACATAGGTTTCTGTAGTTACTGTTTTTTACTGCTGGTACATGATGCAACTTATTCTAGTTCCCAAAGTCATGCTTTGTGGTTTCCTGGTGCTAATATCTGTATTTTTTATTTTAATGTGCTGTCTCAGGGTGAAGATGTGAGTATGGGCATCTGGATGGCAGCTGTAGGACCCAAGCGATATCAAGTGAGTCTGAAGAAATTCTCTGACCTTATGGAAGGAGAACATGCCTGTTGCTCCAAATAGCATAAAATAGAGGAAATTTTTTTTTTTTTTTTTTTTTTAAGAAAAAGCAATTGAAACAGCCATTTTAAAATCCAGAAAACACTTGTTAAAATGTATTTAAAAGAAAAACCACAAAACCCGTACACCAACCCCCCCCTCACCACCAGCAGCCCCCATCCCCCAAGTTCTCTGTATAGGTCTAGACATATACCTCTAGTTGGTGACCTTTGTGTGCAATGTTTATTGCTAGAAACAATGAAAAGAAGTAAAGATTGTCAAAGACTAAATTCCTGGTAAGAAAAACTATTGAAATGGTTCTCTCCCTAACAGGATAGTCTCTGGTTGTGTGAGAAGACATGTGAGAGTGGAATGCTGTCTTCCCCCCAGTATTCTCCACAGGAACTGAGAGAGCTCTGGAGATTAAAGGAACTCTGTGGAGATCCTTGTAGATGTGAGGAAAGATGATGGACTTGCCTTGGAAAACAGGGTAGTGTATAATGATCATGGAAAAGTGTACACTTGGATTCGTTCTTGGAACAATAAGGAATATTAAGGTATCTTTTCATGTTGGGTTTCAACTAAAGTATAACAATATTTGCACAGCCCTTTTGATAATTACAAGCGGACTGATACTATTCATTTTCTATAGTATAGATGTTGATCTGACAAAACCCAAAAATTGAAACAGCCATTGGATTAAAATCCAGAAAACACTTGTTAAAATGTATTTAAAAGAAAAACCACAAAACCCGTACAAACCAACCCCCCTCACCACCAGCAGCCCCCATCCCCCAAGTTCTCTGTATAGGTCTAGACATATACCTCTAGTTGGTGACCTTTGTGTGCAATGTTTATTGCTAGAAACAATGAAAAGAAGTAAAGATTGTCAAAGACTAAATTCCTGGTAAGAAAAACTATTGAAATGGTTCTCTCCCTAACAGGATAGTCTCTGGTTGTGTGAGAAGACATGTGAGAGTGGAATGCTGTCTTCCCCCCAGTATTCTCCACAGGAACTGAGAGAGCTCTGGAGATTAAAGGAACTCTGTGGAGATCCTTGTAGATGTGAGGAAAGATGATGGACTTGCCTTGGAAAACAGGGTAGTGTATAATGATCATGGAAAAGTGTACACTTGGATTCGTTCTTGGAACAATAAGGAATATTAAGGTATCTTTTCATGTTGGGTTTCAACTAAAGTATAACAATATTTGCACAGCCCTTTTGATAATTACAAGCGGACTGATACTATTCATTTTCTATAGTATAGATGTTGATCTGACAAAACCCAAAATGTTTAAGATAAAAAATTTCCTTTTTATATAAAGTCAAAGACCTACTTGTAATTAATAAATGCACATAAGAATGCCAACTAGCCTGTCTTTTGTAAATTGAAGTACTACTGATTTAACTCAGTATAGAGCCGTACCAGGATCCAGTAGAGAGCTGTGCTCAGCACCAGGGCATGCGGTAAGTCTTGCTGCAGCAGGTTCTGTGCTGTCCGAGGGGTTGCTCTCATCTGTGCAGGGGCTGGGACAGCTAGGGGTTAGGATTTATGTTTAGTTTGTTTATACTATTGTCATTTTAGACAAAAACAATATCAAAGTTTGCTTATACCAAATCTTGAAGTACTGCAAACTTGGCCTGATTAGGAGGGATTTCTGATAGCTCAATGTGTTATTAAGATATGAATCTGAGGGTACACAAGTGAAAAGTAAAGTAAGATTGAGGAACAGCGCACTAAAGAATGTAAAATAAATAGCAATGCCTTGCAGTATGCTGAGAACTTATTTATACTGTGGTATGTTAACACTGTAGGGTAGAATAAAGGTCTGTCAGATTTTGACCTTAAATAGTCTAAGGCTGCGTAGATACTTCTACAATTACTGCTGTTTTACTTTGGTTTGCTTTAAGGTCTTTGGAAGTAGGTGAAAACAAAAGAGCAAGTAGCCTCTTTCAGTGCAGCACTAATTTTGTCCTATTATAAGCAAAGAGATTACAACTAAATCATGTAAAACAGTAAAACAAATTCTCACTGTTGCAATGGGAAGGTAGTATAAAATCTTGGCAAAAGTTACCTTGAGTTTTATTTAATTGAAGCATTCAAGCACTATTTGGTATCTCTCAAGTAAGACAACTCAGCCAAAAGCAAATGCTTTCATGGAGACTGACGATTAAGTTTAGGAGCTGAAAGTAGTATTGTGTAGCCCTCTGGTGCCACGTATGAAATTCACGTTCTCCGATGTTTGTGTTCAGGCACAGGCTGTCCATACTGTCTGTGGGCAGTCCGTAACTCTTCTGCAGTTCCAGTGTTGGCTTCCCCTTCAGTCTATCCAGAGAGTCCCTTCTCACCACCGTACTAACACACAGTCTCCATTTTCTATTGAGTAAAACTGCAAAGGCTTTAAGTCATTGTCTAGTTCAACTTCTTTTCCTTCCAGCTAGAGTAAGAAAGGAAAAAAAACCTGATCAGACTTAAACTGAAATCTGTTCCTGTAAATCAAATATAGATCAGGCAGTTGCAGTCAGGGAGGATCTGTCATATTACAGGAATGAAATTAGGTTCTAAATTACAGCATGAACACTGCCCTCCTTAAGTGAAATCAATTTCATTAGGTAGTATTTTAGAACATGCTCTTAGATCTTTAGCAGCATGCAGTATTTTATTGTTGAATTACCCATTTTTAACTCACTTTAGAACTTTCGTAGGACAGTTTCAGTTCTGAACCAGGAATTTTAAGTAGGCGATACAGCAATCCTTTGACCCTCTGAATAGTCATAGACTCTGCCAAGGGGAAAGAAAGAAAAGTTATTAGAAAAATGCTGCTACCACTGAGCTGTAGCAAAGTACTAGTGTTTCAACTGTACTTGCTTATAGCAACAGTCAAAGGCTGGATTGCTGCTTCAGTTCTAACACTGCAATAATGTCTTTTGTACCCAAACCCGTAACTGCTAATATCAAATTGGAAATGGTTTAATCTCTGGTGGATAGGACAGGATATGCTACTACGGTTTAAGCGCTTTGATCCCATATACCAAATTAAAAGTGTTACAGCTTCATAATTTACCTTTTTTGAGTCTGTATTTACTACATGCTAAACTAAGTGACCTTTGGGACACATACCAGTCAGGTTCTGACTACTTGCATCTGACGACTGTTCCTTGAAGCTTTCATTACCAGGAATTGACTTTCCCAGCACAAATAAATGAATGTCACTGTGGAACTAGTGCCGTTCTTAGAAATGGTATTACATTAATTAGTCCCAAACAAACTGCCAGCAGAGTTGTAGAGTGGTTTATATTATGAAGTCAGTTGCACGAAGGGGTATTTTTTGTAATGGATCTTGAATGAGTAAATGTAGTTTGTTCCAGAGGTGAACAAACCTGTGTTTGCAATAGATATACTCAATTTTGGTTGAACTTTCACTTCTTTTGAAGCTTTATCTAAAGGCACAGCAATAGTGAGTTATTCCTGTAATACCACACACTGTACTTAGACAAATATTTTTCTATCAAACATTTTTGTAAAAGCTGTATCTATCTGATTTTATGCAACTTGTGATAATAAATGTGATTTTTATTTTAGAATAAAGCTTGAGTAAGTAAGTCTTTTCTCTCAGACTCCATTCTGACACATCTTTCCAAAACATCATTTTAATTTACAAAGTCTATTCATTCTAGTCTCACTACAGGCACTAAAACTTCAAAAGACAAGTTTGGTACAGGTCAGAATTAGATTTCTAACTTCACGTGTTAGATACTAGACCTCAATATCTAGAACTGCAGACTATGTAGTTGGCTCTTACAACTTCATGTTCTTGTTATTTGGTTAACACATCCACCAGATTTCACACCAGTTAATTAGCCTTTGATTGCCTCAGACACATTAATCATGAAACCAACAGCAGAGGTCATAAGACAAGCATCAACTTTCAATCTTCAAGCTGGACTGAACGTACATATGAAGGTCAGAAAAATAATGACTTTTTTAAACAATTTCTACCTTTGTCATTTCTTTAATACAGTTACTTGAAAAGGAACTACAAATCAACTGCTTAAACACAAGCCAAGACTTCTTACCTGGTAGCTTTTTCTCTACTGGCTTCTGTTCAGGTTTCTCAGGACATTTAATTGTCAAAGCTTAAGGAAGAATGGTGAGGCATTAGTGAATGAACGTTAAGCCCTGTTCTGTCAGGAGCACAGAGTCTTTCTAGTCTGTTTTTATTACAAACTGCTTCCCCTAGCTCAGCCTGATCTCCTAAAAAAATTAGGATGTAGGCTGTATCTGAGCAGCTAAGATAGCATTTAGTCATTCTCTGAAAAATTAAAAGTAATTTTATTAAAATAATCAAGTTTTGATTCATCTTTGGTAAATTAGGGAAAATACTTTAAGTGACTCCCTAATACTTAACATGTTGTTTTTTTGGTCAAAAGGAGTATTTACCTAAAAATGCTTATTTTCTAGTTAACGTTTTAAAATAACCTGCAGTAGAATGGAAACTGCTTACTCAGTTTAAAGCAGGTTTTTGACCCTCAATATCTCAAAAGCACCGTACAAGCACATTTTGAGGAAGTTACTAGCCTAATTCTTTTACAGAGATTAAAAATCTCATCCTTAAAAAAGGTTTCTATTATGTCTAGCCAAATAGATTCCTTGTTCTATTTAGTCTTCCACCTAAATGCATTAGAATGTAATGCCTTAAACTACTATTTTGCCCATGGAGTAAAAAAAGGTTCAGTTCTATCAACCGGGAAACAAAGCTAAGTGAATTTGTAAGTCTGGGACGTAACCTAGTTTAAATATGTAGACAGCCCCAAACACCAAAGCTACCCATATCTTTCTTGACTGTCCTAAAGTTAAGAAGCTATATATTAAAAAAAAGTTATCAGAAAACAGTGCAGCTATTGAGGTTAAAATCTCAAATGTCTTCCGTGGAGAAGCCATTTACACTGTCAGAATGAAGTACTGATTACCTCTATTCTCCATTAGGTCTTAATTAAGAAAATGATTCGGCTTGGGTTGACGGGGGAAATGAGATAGAGTACACAGAAGCAGGTATCTAGTCAAACTCATTGAAACACACAGTTCAGAGAAGCAGAATTACAAGCTGGAACTCTGTGACATCTCAAAGGCTTTTGAACCTTTTGTTCTCCATATACACCAGGAAACACTAAGCTCGTAAAATATTTTAAATGCAGAAGTGCAAACGACCATTTCTGGCCTCTTACTCAGAAGCTGATTTTTCAGAGTCAAAGGCTGTCGTCCCTTCAGTTCTCCTTCTTCAGGTGCACCATATTCTGTGTGAACGAAAGTGCGCGTAGACATGAACCCTTCAAAGACTAAAACTCAACAGTAGACCTAAGAGCACTGTGGTGTTGGATCAGGCACGAGCCTGCTGCCTCAGTTCCCCCAGCAGCTAGGACACTGAGTATAGAAGGTGGTAGGCTCCTGCAACACTAAGTGCTGCAGACATGAGCCTGGATCAACTGCTAGAGCATTTAGGAGGGTGCACAGGCACGTGGGATGGGGTGGAGCGGGTGACAGGCACATGGAGGTGCTGCTTAACATTCCCACTTTAAAAAAGCCCCAGGTAGAGACAGCTGCTGCCTGCTCACCGGTAGAGTTATGGGGCAGATGCTCACAGGTGTCGTCCCTGAGGCAGCAGCGCCCGGAAGGGTGCGGTACTAGGCAGCTGCCCCACAGAAGCAAAAGCCATTCGCACACAGGCCTGCCAACGGCTGGGCTTTCCTGAGGTGGCAGAAGCAGATGAAAAAAGCATCAAGGGGAAGGGAAACTGAAGAGAGACCAAACCAGTGCTACCACAATGCCAGAAGTGAGGAAATGCTAATTTTACTGTACTTGTACTTACTAAGACAAAGCGATGGGTATCTGGGATGGGCAGCAAGAAATTCTTCACTTGGTTTGTTTTTCTCTGGGTTCCAATTCCCACCAGCTGCTAACCAGTCATTTCCGAATATTTTGCGATAATCAAGCTCTGCTCCTCTTCTTTCAGCAGGAAGGATCTGTGCTGACACAGGAATGGCACATAATACAATCATACAACTTTCCAGAGAAGAAAATCTAATTAATGACACTGACTCCTTGCTCGCACTTAGGTGTTCAGTATGTTTTAGTGCTACCCAGAATCTTACAAACCCTATCTCTAAGAACTGACTGATCAATATATTCAGTACATTTTAAAGCTGTTAAGAATCTTACAACCCCTACCTCCATGGACTGACCGATCCATAAACGAATATCTAAGCAAAGATGTTACTGTAAATGATGACGCAAGGATGTTTTTTGTAGCTATGGAACAGATGCTGCTTCTGCTCTCTTTTATGATAAACATTTCCTGAAAGTTTGATTTGGTTTAGGTAATGCTATTTTCCTATTACAGAAGGCAAATGCTTGTATTACTGTCACTGAAAGAGATTCAACTATGCTGCTTTTTCTTTTGGTTTTTTGGCCAGAGTATGGTTTTTGTTAACAGTCCTGCAACTTCAACATGACTTGGGCACTTGGAAGAAAAACACCATTCTTCCATCTTGTCCTAGAACACGCTGAGTCAGCAGCTTTCCCAAACAGGGCTGGATCTTGTAGCCCTACTGAGTGCCCCGTTGACTAGGTGATGGAATAGTCGGCGTTTTACTTTTCCCACCCCCAAACAATCTTAAAAGAAACCAAAAACAGTTCCTCAGGCAATGATTTAATTTTTGTCCCCAGACTCATGCAGTCTGTTGAAGTATCACGTACCTCAGACTTGTTCAAAATCTCCAATTGACTTATCTTGGCAATAATTAGCTGTCTCAGGGTCTCTGGGTTCTTCTCTGTGTCCATGAGAGGGTTATTGTGACACTGCAGTGACCGCAAACTTGGCAGCTTATCAAGCTCATTGATAGATGACCACTGAAATGGAAGGGGACAGTCTCGTGAGGAAACATAAAACATACTTCATTTCAGAACAACACACAGTAACATTGACTTTTCCTGTACGATGACCATGACAGAAACTATTCTTTTGGTCAGCAGAACCGAGTACTTTCATCCCGTTCATTTAGCTAAGGGAAAAACTGCATGACATTTAATGGAGTAAAAAAACCCCAAAAAACACAACACACAAACAAGGAACTACTCAGCATTTTAGATCATTAGAATTCTGCAAGAGGAATTTATGAGGTAGCAGAGTGATATGACTAGCTACCATAAACATGTTTAACTGAGACGTTAAGAAATGTTTTTGAATTTTTAAATTATGCCTCTGTGCTGATCAAAGTATTCAATAGTTACCTCAGGATCTTACACATACAATCAAAGAAATTTTAAAAAAGCAAATTGCAAGTTACTCTTAAGCAGATACATGTATTTACAAAATGTGAAACTATCACAATCTAACCTACCTGTGCTATTTTATTGTCATTTATTGCAAGGCCTTTTAGTGAAGGAAACATTTTAGTCTTGCATCCTAGGAAAAAGAATAAATTTACAAGACGATAGTGAAAACTTTAAATAAACACAATTATAAAGCTATAAATAAAATACTTCTTTTACATACCAAATCCAGCATCAGGAAAGTGTATAGAAGATATACCAGTGTTCCTAAGTATTAGCTGTTCTAATCTGAAATTTAATAGATACAATGATTACTGTACATGGCACGGGAAGCTTTTTGTAAAGAAATACTACCTCAATTTTTTTTTTAAACAAAGATCTAATAAACTTTTGACATGATGCATAGTCACTGACAAATGAACAGCAGCTTCACAGACAGCACTCAGACTTCAGCAGCATTCAGGAATAAATTTTTCAGAGAGTAAGTGCAGTAATTTCAAGCTGTGCAGCTACTGATGAACCTGCATTAGACCGTCACGGTCAAACTGTTCCTAAGAAAATGACTTCCATAGCTCCTTTGCTTTGCCACTGCACACAAACTCTACAGTCCTGTCATCTTGGATAAAACCCTGTGCATACTAATATATAAAGAACTTAGTAACGTGATAAATCACTTTCGTTTCATAAGTGTATAATGAAAACCTAATAACATACAGCTTAAGAATGTGTTACTATACAACAAAAATAAGATTACATTGAAATAATTCAGTTACTCTCCTCAAGAGGGCAAAATGCCTCTATTTCAAGATTCCATAAATCTTCCATGCAACATCAATACTATCATATTTCAGTCAACAGAGACTACGGAGACGAATATCCAGGACAAAGAATTTCCAGCAAATTTGTTTAGCAGCTACCTGGGAAGGTGTGCTATTAGATGCAGCTGATTGCCATCCAGCAGCTGGTTGTCTGAAAGGTCTAACAACCTCAGGGTCTGCAGGACGTTATCGGGCCTGCCACATTGGAAAAAAACAAACACAAAGGCCGAACATTTAAAGCTATTTGTTAATGAAAACACTAGTTTTCTAAGTATATAGCTGCATGAAAATAATTGTGTACATTTATAAATGTTTTGAAGTACATCACGTGAAGTTTGCATCATCTATTTTACAATTATGTCATGGTGATGTAAACATTACAGGAATGTAACTTTACCTGCTGTATAACTTTGCAGTACGTCAGTCGCAAACGACTGACTTGTGTTACTCATCTTACCTTTCCAAAACTGTAATATTATTAGAGGTAAGGTACAATTCTTCGAGTGCTGGCCATCCCGGAGCACAAAGAAGAACCTAAGAGCAAAACTTCATTTAATATAACAAAAGTTGGGAAAAATGATTCCAGTAATTATACTTTATGCAGATTTCCTCAGAACATGTTCCAAACAAGTCATAGCTCCCAAAACCAGAGAAACAAGTATTACGGATTGCCTAGCCCTCCCTTTCTTCCAGCTGGCTCTCTCCTGTGTCGGGATCTACCAGCACAGATGACATCAAAGGGGTTCTGCACAGTCACAGGACTTACAGTTCCAGGCTTGAGGCTAGTAGCTGCCCTACCTCAGACTGCGTGACCTGGAAACGGAGTTTATTTTATTCAATAGGGTTGGAGTGATCAGATTTTCCCTACGATGAGGTGAGGAAATGGCAGTATATACTCGGCTGCTAACGGTTCTGGAACTTCTGCACATCTCATCAGGTCTGACAGACTTTTAAAATGTCTTAATTTATCAGAGCTTGAAGGCTTCTCTGTCACGGGACTGTGCCAGCACGTGAAACCACTAAAACCCAAGAATTGCATTAAGTCAGCACATATCCTGAAGTTTTCAAGTACTCTAAAGAAAACAAATCAGTTCAAAAAGGCTACAAATTGAACAAAGACGCATTTGTTTTAAATCTTATGTCCTGAAGTTACATAAAAATTATTTTTTTTACTTTATAAAGATTCGTTTTTTGCAAACATCTACAGCAGATAACACAACTTTAAAAAAAACCCCACTTATTACAAAGCAATAGAAATTGCTGGCATAAAACCCAGTTTTGTGTGCAATTGTGACAGTGTGAAAAGTTTGCAGTTTTAGCAAACGGAGTTCCATAAGCACTGGAACTGACTGGTTTTCTACAGATTTGTGCCTGTGAGTCGCAAATTATTTTTTTTGCTGAGGTTTTTCTTGTGTGTATTCTCCAGGGTCAAATTAAGTGTGAGCTCATCCTGCTGCTCCTTCCTTGGTTAGGAAACTCAGAGGGGCTCTTTCCTCCATCTACATTCCTATTTTCTTGGAACTTGTCGGTAATAAATTATTTTTAAACCCCCACCTCTTTTCAGAGTGTGTTTGAAAGTGGCTAGCAGATTCAAAGTTTTTGAGATGCAAGAACAGAGACACATACACGCACAGCATAACCACCTAGAGCTTGTTTTTACAGGAGGTCCCAAAGGTTACAAAGCAGTGAAGTTCAGAGATCTGGACAACCAAATTCAATTTGTTACGTATATAGCTAAGCGATTCTCCTCTAAATGCCCACTATCCTAGACACCAAAAAGCCGCCTTTCATCAACTATTCTTCATTCTCTCCGTTACATCTGTATGAAGTTACACAGCTGGATGTATATATAACTGTCTCATTATATATACAATACGAAATATTTACACTGAGATCTCTTCAAGCAGCAGCATACGATTTGGGGCTCAAATGCTTCGCACCCAAAAATATGGAACATCATCCTGCTGCCCTATCTGCAACACACGTAAGCTTCTTGGATATAACAACTTTTCCTGCTCCAGCGCAAGAGCAGGAAACACCAATTTTTTCTCTCTTTAATTTGGGTAGTGTTTCCCCACGTCAACAAGGCAGACCAAAATAGTTTACCTATTAGCGATGGGGAAGCATGAAAAGAAGCCTGCAGAGTCAAGAGAAATTAGGTGCATGTTCACTACAGAGAACCTTTGGGGGATTCCCCCACAAAAGCCCTGCGTTGTGATGGATGGACTAGAAAAACCCGCACAAAACTGCAGTATCAGAAGACTTTTCGACAGACTGACCAAATGACTCGAGAACTGCCAAGACCAAATGATAGTCACAGCACAATTCTAAGAAACTCAAATTGCGGAATTTTCAACTATTGCTTAAAACAGCTTCCATACAGAAACAAAAGTTCACAGATCTGACACCGAATTAACACTCAGGGAAGATCGGGGGCTTGTTGTGGATAGCTGGTGGGGAGGTTGGGACGAATAGCCCAGTGGAGTAGCCACTGCTGATCAAAAAAGAAAAATGGAAATCCAAGACCTATTGCAAAAGAAATAAAGACAACAGGAAACAACTGTCACCATGTAAGTCCATGACGTTCCTGTATTTTTAGTCTCTCTATCCCAGGAAGCAAATAATATAAATGGGAAAGGCACAAAGAAGCTTAACAAGAATCATCAAAGCTATGAAACAGAAAATAGCTGTTCTCAGTTACTTGCATATAAAATAGTGGGAATCATTAAATGAAATTATCAGGCAGCAAGATCAAAAACCAAAAAAGGCATTTTTTTTATACCGCACATAATGAAAACTGATGTTAAAAGATGTGGATATCAAAATTTTCAAAGGGGTTCTTAATACAGTTAGATAAATCATGAAACAAAAAATCCACAAAGATTAATTAGATACAGATATATAGTCTCCAGCTCAGGAAGCCCCAGAATTCTGGATTACTGTATAAAAAGCTCTTACCATATTCTTGCCCTCTGCCTAGAATTTTTCCCAATTACCTGCTACTTCCCAGTGTCAGAAACATGATCCTGCACCTCTGCTCTAACCCAGATTTTTCTTTTACCCTGTATAACAGTAGATTATTTTATAAATGTAAGATCTTAGTTTGAAAACCGAATGACAAATACAACATTATGATCTAAATGCTGAATAAGAAAAAATGTTTTTGGAGCCATAAATATGAATCCATTACTCTCCAATGCATTAATTCAATTTCTAAGTCAATGGTTTCTAACTGTAAGATATTTTACAGGACATCTTTCCCCCTTGAAGTTTATATGTTATGTTTTGAACAATCAATCGACAATTATACAGTGATAAGCTCTTTTACTGATATATTACTAGAAATCTCAGATGTATTTAGGTATCTGCATATAATATACTAATGAAAGAACTTTTTGGACAACTGATGCTCAAGGCATGTAACTGCGGAGTTATGCATAATCGCATAACAGTTAAGCATGTTCCTCTACTGTGAAAAATATTTCAAAACAGAGGAACAAACAAAAAAAACCCCACAAGTCCTCTCTTCTTTTTTAAAACTATCCCCGTGGCATATATTCTTACATATGGCAATAAGTTATTTTGAAATGCTATTCACCATTAAATTGTTTTAATTTTAATTAAAGCGTTTCTCGGATTTTCAGACTTTGCTTATATTCCTATTGACAATCGCTGTATTTCTCTTTTGCCTGATCATATTCATTATTATTTTCTATTAAGAAGTTGACTTTTCAAAGTAACTCCCCATATAGCTTAAGCAGTAACATTTTCAAGTGGTTTGTTCACAGAGTATTAACGTCAGGTAGGTCCCTTTATTTTTTCCCTTTTGTTCGGCTGCCCTGGAACACCACTTTTAAGCACAGGCTTACGTCTCCCCACTTATAAGGGAATGAATCGAACAAATTTCAATTTCATAAAAAAGATTTCTGAACCAAAAGTGTCTTTACCGCCTACGATGAATCGTCAGCTAGAGCAGAGTTTCAAAAACAAATGCAAAAGCTACGTAATTTTAAACTGCTCTGACTAACCTGGGGCTTCTCCCTGAAACTTAGTTACCCCTAGAGAACTCTAGTCTGCCTGAAGCAATGGCTCCGGCCAGCCTTTCGGCCACCCGGGGAGGGGGGAGAGCTGCTGGCAGCTGTCAACATTTTAAACACCACAATGCACAGATCTACTCTGATGAGTTTAAAGTGTGTGCAGCCACTTAATTCTTCCATTCGCTTCACTATTCATATTGCTGCTGTTATGGAAGGATTATCAACTGTCCTAGCATAAACCCCACTGATGGTTTAAGAGCACAGTGAACAGACACTAAACAAAAATACAGCAATGACCCTCCTCTAGCCCTGCTGCAAGAGAAGAGAATGAAGAAGTTGCTTTCTACTTAACTCAAACCCCAGTTTTGGTAAGTGCTCTATTACTGGATAGTGGCTGGCAGCAAAAATCTGAAAATTCAGGTAATTTCACAACGCAGTACATACAAATTCTGCCCTGTCAGCTGGAATTTACAAGCTGTTACAAGTAACGTGGCACTACTGAGACGTGCTTCATAAGCCCCATCTCTGAAAAAAGGCCCACTGCTAACGTATTTGACAACGGGACTTCATTCTTAATGAGACCTCGTATTAGGGGAGAGTCATTTAAACGTTTGCATGTTTCAGTCCCTGAAACAAGTCAGAGCTTTGTTTATTCTGTGCTGTATCTGTGTCACATATAACCAGGCATCATGTATTTCAAGAATTGTCAGTATGTGCAAAGATACTAAGCCAATCTCCTGCTGATGCAAAGTGATGCCAAAACAAGTACTTCGTGTCATAATGACATCCGTTCCTTCCATTTGCATTTGTTCTATTACATGCGTAAAAATACAGATAAACCTTTAATAACTACAAGGAAACAAAAAGTTTTCGTTCACACAAACCTTTGGGACATGAAGTTATATTATACTCCAACTGCTTTATCTTGACTTGGTGATTTATAACTGTAGATGAAGTTAAATGTTTCTTATTAGACTCCTGTGCCAATATAACTTCCTACATTATGTTGGAACTACGTTAGTTACTACGTAACTAATACAGTTACGCCACAGCACCTTTTCTAAGGATGATTACATTTCAGTAGAATAATATAATGCATAAATGTTTATTGTGCTTTCCTTGCCTCAAACACCTAACAATAGAAATAAAAACAAACCCAAAGGTTATTACCTCCGTCCATGTTATCTCAGTTATAGTGCCAGAATCCTCATTTTTGAAAATACACTGGATACAGAAGTTGATGTAGATGGAAATTTCATTTTGTTTTCACTGTGTAAAAAGAATAATTATTATCATAAGGAATAACTGCATTTTATTTAAGTCACTAATTTGGAATTACGTATTAAAAACAATTTACACAAAAAAAATTTAAAAAGTCACTGCCAAGGTGTCACATATTTTGAAATATTATAAAATAACCTTCTAGGAATATTCAAACCACTCTTTTCTAATTTACTTTCCTACTTCATGAATGCGTATTTATTCATCTGTGGCCTCCTTCCCCCCCTTTGCCTATTTAAGTCACTAATTTGGAATTACGTATTAAAAACAATTTACACAAAAAAAATTTAAAAAGTCACTGCCAAGGTGTCACATATTTTGAAATATTATAAAATAACCTTCTAGTTATATTCAAACCACTCTTTTCTAATTTACTTTCCTACTTCATGAATGCGTATTTATTCATCTGTGGCCTCCTTCCCCCCCTTTGCCTCCCTTAAGTTTTGAATATGAAAAGAATTATCTTCATTAATACTAAATGAAACAAAGTCAGATTTTGGGCTTAAACTCCTTAGTGTCGACTGAAAAATAAAGAGCCTACGTGACTATCCAGACCCCAGTAAAACAAAACGATGTAAAATCCACTCTCAATAGCAAAATATCACTATAAAATAGTTAAGAGAGTCTCAAATCTGCAGTCTTCAAACTAGTTTTCATTACTCACCCCCAGACAAAAGGTTTTCTTTCTTTCCTAAAGTCTGATCTACCTGCACATTATGATAAAAATCTCTCAGTGTAGTTACACTTCCATACTTGCGGCTTAAATTTCCCCATTTAAACAAGCTCTTAGAGAGCTGATGGATGGCTAATCACTTCTGTTCTTCTTCCAACATTCCTTGCACAAAAAACATCAGTAGCAGACTTACCTGCTGATGTCTTTTTTTAAAGCAAACAGAAAGTCAAAACAATAAAAAACAGATTCAGATGATTTCAGTTTGTAGTCACAAACGTCGGATTCCAGCATCAATCCCATTTTGCTCTCCAATTTTATCACAAATAACTTCTGAAAACCCTTCAGTCTAGACTACACTTCTCAACAATGAAAAACTGAAAAAATTATTCTAGGTGAATTAAAATAAATTCTCTGTATTCTCATGCATGCTAGTAATAAATCATGGCAACATATACTCTAGGCAAAGTTAGATTCACATATGGCACCCAGGTTGCAAACAGCTGTTTAGCGCTAAATATTGAAGAAAATGGAACACTTACAACTATTTAAAAAACAAATTTTTGTCACATTAACTATACGAACAAATACAAAAACTGGGGTCGCTTTTTGATTAAATTAACTTGGTATTTATTTCAGTTTAGCTTACATCACTTTCAGTTGTTTTAGCTACATTGTGTATACTGTACAATGAGGGCTTTGGAAGCTGCTAATCTCAACACAGATCTCCAAGACTTAAAAAAAAGTCGTATTTTGGGCTTCTGCCTTCAGTCCTATTGCCCCGCTGCCGTCTTCAGTGACTAGTACGACCCCCGAAACAGCTGAACAACTCTGCTTAAAGAGTCAGCAGTCAAAGTGTTAACCTTGACAATAAAACAACCTTCCTAAAGTTGCAGCTACAACATTAACTTCTCAAAATCAGTGGTTTAGGCTGCTACCTATTTACAAACTTTAATCCATTGTCTTAGTTCACACCAGAAAATTATTCTGGCACGTGCCAGCTACAGTGTATAGGCGTGTACTAGAAATGTTCTTTATTTTGAAATTATTTTGTGAATTCTTTCTTGTTTCAATGGAATTGCAGCTTGATTTAACAACATCCTCCCTCCTTTCCCAATGTCATCACTGTACAAGAGATTTTCCCCTAGGTCTATCACCATGATCCACAGTTCTTATCAGCATGACTTCAGAACAGGAATAGACTGCGTCTTGGGATACTTAAGGTTTGGTTAAAGCATTATGGATATTTTAGTTTGGTGTCAAGACACTGTTGGTAAAGCATGACTCTCAAACAAAAGCGGGCTCCTAAATAAAGACTTGCCTGGGCAGTCAGAATATACCAACAGTAACAGAAACCAGAGATGAAGTCTTAAGACACTTGGAATGACTTTAAAAGGAGATGAAAATATATTTACTTCACAGTTTTCCTAAGTAGAAAAAAATTTCTAAGGTCATGAAAAAAAAACCAAACAGGTTTGCAAACCCAGAAGGCAAACGGATAGCTACTACTAAACCTAACTAAAAAATGCTAAGCAAGATTTTTAAGCGACAAGGATGTGTTACTAGTGCTTTCACAGGCAGGCTGCAAACTCCTGCAGCAGTGCCACCCCAAGGTCTTGGCTTCTTCTGAGGGGCCCATCTGCCAGCAGAGTCCCCACACCCTGCCAGCGCCACGCAGACCCTGCGCACAAGTATCCAGAGAGCCTGACCTGCTGCACATGCACACAGCAAATTTGGCGATGTCTGCTGTGAAGCTGGTCTCCTTGCTGCAAACCAGACCTCACTGCACACGTGCAATGTGGATGCATGCACACGTTGAGTCAGTTCTGCCTTGGGGCAAGCTAAGCTTTAAAATCAAGAGAATTAATTGTCTTAGATGTCACAGAAGTGTATAAGGGCATCTTACGACGCTGTAAACCTAAGTTTCTATACTCCCTGTTTCCTCGTTTCTGTAAAAGTACTCTGAGTATTTTTTTTTTACCTTCAGTCTAACTGCTTAAAAGGGTCTACAGCACCCTGTAAAAAGCTATAAAGCATTTTAATCCAGTCTCCCTAGCCAAGAAGCCAATTTGCATAAAAATGATGAAATCTTATGTAGAACACATTGATAAATGTCTAAATTCCTGTAAATGTTTAATGGCTGAAATCTGTATTCTATTTTTCAGACAACTGTGATTTTCCTAATTTTACAAAACTCCAGTCAACATCCATCTGTCCCAAGCACTTCTCCAGAATTTAGTTTTACATAGATGCTAAACTCCTAGGGTTCTAGTCTTCCCTTGAAAAGGGATGTCTGAAAAATATAGCACACACGTGAGTTGTTTAAGGACAAGATTTAAAAAAAAAGTACAAGATTTTAAAAAAAAAAGTATTTAAAAACTTATCTCCCATTAAGATGAGTACTGAAGCATCCAGTTACCTTTAGAAAGCTGACTCCGTATCTAAAAGAGCCTCTTCTTTTTTGTCCCTACCCCAAAGGAACAGAAACCCAAATATGAATATTTATACCTGATATTAAGTGTTTCCAGATTTTGAACTTGAGAAGCAATAGCTGTTACTGTCTCCCAAGATGATATCAGATTTTTTGATAGATTTATATGCCTGATATCTGAAACGTCACATTAAGAAAAACAACTTTATCTCAAATCTGAACTTCCTTTTTCAGAAATTGCAATTAGGGTTTGTTTTTGAATCAAATAAACAGAAATAGATTATACTTGTTTGGGCTAAGAGATACTACTGCTCAGTTACAGCAAATTTTATTTTGATTTGTGGTATGGAAACGGCTTATAGTTGTATAAAAGAGCTTAACTTTACAAATCCTAAAATGGATTAATTTCTGTATTGACAGGAACTCTTACCAGTTCTTATAAATGAACAAATAATACCTGCTTTGTATTTCTGTAACATCGCTACAACATGCGGTATATTGAATACATTATTTAACATATATTGGAAACCTCTGGTGCCTACAGAACATATCAGTTGTATTTTTATGGGGCTATCTATTCTAGAGTTAATGAAAAAAAAAACCAAACCCATTGCTGGAGCCTTCTGAAATTGCAGTCACAGTAGCAACCTATGTCAGTATTTCTATTTTTATCCACAATTTGCATTCCCTCTCAAAAATTGTACGCATCTACTTTAACTCTGTAAACATTGCATTAAGCTTCTAAAATATAAACTACAGTTTTAAACATTTTTTTAATAAAAGGATACAAATATCATTCATTGAAGTGAACACTTGGAATGCTAAGTTATGTACTTTATTTGTGGTATCATGCAATACAGCAAAAAAAGGATACTAGCACATGTTCTGCTGATTTCCTCTTTCTGACCAGCATGGCTCACTGCACACTCACGCACTGAGATATCTACCAGTTGGTTCAGTTGGCTAAATGAGAAAGAACATTCTGTTAAGCAATCTTCAAGCAGAAATAGGTACGTTATATAAATACCTGGTTGTTACAACTAAATACTATCCTTTCCATACATACCGTCTCCTTCAGAATTAGCAATGTGCAGATTGCTACATTGCAGTGCCCTTCTTACTCGAAAACAGACACATCGCTATTTTTTGCCTTTGCATTGCTACTACAAAATAGGTCTGGTTGAACCACAACCCCCCCAAAATACCCAACCAACCCTCATCCAACCGAAAAAAAGAGTGATAAAACAGACAAAATATAGCTATGCAAATTGGAATTTAATTAGAAGTTCCAAGTTAAACAGGTTTCTTGTAATACTTTTTGCAAGAGGTTCTAAGTTATTTGGGCATTCTTTGTATCACTTATCAAAAAAGACAAAAGAAGAGTATTTTCGACTGCTTAGTATGTTCTGGGAGACAAAGGGAGAATAGTTGTGGAATATCAGCTCAGAAGGAGACTGCCACCTACTGAACTGATACCTCTCTACTACTGGAGGTCATTAAAACTGCAACCTATTACACATCATTAAGTTACTTCCCTTCTCACCCTTCCAGATAAATGAACGTGACATGAACTGACTGAAAGACTTCTTCACCAGCAGTACAGTGACTTTCTGTCTTCCCTCTCTTAGTTACAAAGTTATTACTGATATGAGTAAACAAAGGTGAAATAATACTGTACAATATTAAGAAAATTTCAAAATACACCTATTTAAAAATGACCATGCATGTGTATAATGATTGCCAATATCATGATAATTCATCTCACTCATTCCTCCCCAAATATCATCACCTCCTACTTTGTGAAATCAAAATGAGGATTGTGAACACTCAAACATGACATAATCCCAGTTCCTATATCCATAAAAGAGGTAAATTATGAAGCCACAATAGGAAGATTTCTTGTCTCTTCCACCATAGTGCAGTTTGGCTTACTTTTAGAGATATGACAATATTCTATGCAAGGCAGCCAGCTTCCTTTCCTTACAGTTGAACTACTACTTGACTAATCAATTGCTAAGAATGTATCTTAGATTTTCATATATTACACTTGCCTTTGTTGTTCTGCAATAGAATCCATGCCAACGAATTCCACAGTCGTCTTCCCAAACACTAATGTATCCTCTGTCCCATGTTGAACGTCTTGCTCAACATTCAATCCGTACCGATCCTTTACTGCGGTAAGAAAATCTACTCCAAAATTTGCCTTGTTTGGCCGGATAAACGATCCTCCTCTAGGATGCCTAGAACAGAGCAGCCAGGAAAAGGTGAAATATGAAAAGTTATCATAAGAATGACTAGTCTCAAAAGTACTAATTATTACTTTTTTTAAATACTGGGAACCAAAGCAGTCAAAAGGCAATTCTACAGGCTAATTTTAGACACCACTATTGCCACGCAGTGAGACTCGGTAAGACTTGCAAAGTATCCCAACAAGTTCACGTTGTGAGATGCCACGAGAACTGAAGCACCCAATCTCCAGATGTACTTACACATCAAAATTACAATGTCAGTGCCATTATCAGAAATAACTGCTCGTTGTTTCCAAACTCATTATGAACTCAGTTTTTCCAGAAAATTAAGTTTCTACCTATGGATAGACGCAAAGTTACCTAAATCATACAACAAACGTATCTGGAGTCTTACCACAGCCTAAGGTCCATAGGAATACTCAGAAGAGTCATTGCCTCATTTTATTTGACTTGAATAATTCACTTGTAATTCTAAGAGAATGCAGCCTTGTCCTTCCATCCACACAAATGACACAAGATGCAAATTGTACCACTTGGAACTCTTACAAACTCAAACTTTTAAAAATTCTGATACTAGCTCAGTAACAATTTTGAAACTGAATATTCAACAGAATTATCCAGCTAATGTATGTTCTACACAGAAGAAGATGAAGTTTCTTAGTTTTTCTTGAGCACTGAAAAAACTTTACTGCATGACAATTTCTCACCATGCAATTGCTTTGACAATTTCTATCAAAGTTAGCAAGGAAACACAGTATCTAGGAAGAACTGACAGAGACAAGTTGTGGGAATGGTATCACAGAGCAGATGGAGGATCTGATAGGAGGATCAGCCAGAAAACAGCATGAAGAAAATTGGTAGTTATGATTACCTGTCTGCCTTCCAGCTGAGAAGAGTACAGACTTCGGTTGGAAAGTACCCAGGAGGAAGAAATCACTTATGTAAATAAAACTCCTCTTTTCAAAACAGCGTGTAAATGTCAAGTGGCTAATTAGCAAACCATAATATAAACCACCAATGCTACAGAGTTCAAAATTCTCTCAGAAAAACAGTAACTAGTGACCCTGAATCCTATGGACCTATTGTAAGTAGATGGAATAGGTTGGTCACCATATATTCACATTTTATTAAAAAATCAATACTGGAAATTGCCTGTGCCAGTTTCATTTATTAACATTTCTAATACTTATTTAAGTACTCTCATCTCCTAAAGAAGGATCTGGGTAGAAAATAGATATTATTTACTTTAAAAATATTTTCAGTCCAGTTTTGTAGTGACTAAGTTTAGAGCGCAATGATTACAAAACAAGCAGAAAGGCATACTCTTAGAGAACGTAAATCCAGTGTGTACTTTCCTGTTCGATAAGCATTTTCAATTCTCTACATTTTCAATCCAGTAACCTTCTCTTAAGTCTTTTCTTCCATTCCTTTGAAGTTCTTCATAGCTTGCAAACATTTGGCTAGTTTAAATGTTAAACTTCCTCAAATGTAAAAATTACGTGACTCTTTCTTAACACCACTTCTTAAAACAGTAAATGACATTTTCACCATCTTAAGTATAACAACAGTCACCTGCGAAGTATATCACTTTTGCATTTAATTAAGTCAAGATGGCAGATAGTGCAGGATTCTACTTGGGGCTCTGGAAAGAAAACTTGTACTCTTGTCTATCTGTAATTCACCCTAGGTCCTGCTGTATGTTTATTCTGACATCTCCTGCCCTTTTTCCTGCCACCTTGATTCTCCCCATTTTGTCATCGCTATCCCTCTGCACTCAACAGCTCTGCTACTTTTCTTCCTCTGCTCTTCCCAACCCTCTCACCAGAGCTAATCTAGACCCCCACATCTGCATCCCTCCTGTCATGCCATTTATCCCTGGCGTAGCCAAGCCCTTTGGGTCTCTCCATCACCATACCCATTCCTAAGCCCATTTCTGTCCTCTCAGGTCACCATTTCTATTGGCATCTCCTTCCTCATTGTCTTTGCAGGAGCCAGTTCTATCCCTAGGAAAAAACGCAAAGGAAACTAGCTGCCTTGCCCCTTGTCATTTGAAGAAACAGGAAAAGTATGGTGCATTTCTCTCTCAAGACCCTTCTATTTTTTGTTTTGATCATAGCAAGATCATAGGGTTTCTCTCTCCTGTTCCTATCACTTCCAAGCACTATGCATGCTATCTTATCTAATGTATACTCAAATCCATTCCACAGCCTAAGTTTCTTTTTCAGTTCCATTCTATTAATTTGATCTACTTTTTCAAGAACTGTCACAGAGAAGGACAGAAAAGGAGACTGCAATAGGAACCTATTTTCAGGCAAAATGATTGTGTGTTCAAGGAGAGAGGTCATTTACCTGTAACTCGTTTTCCCTAAAATACACTGCCTATATTAACCTTCACACTAGGGAATATGAACTGTACAAGCCATATGTACATGTCAAACAACTAACGTACAGCACCTGGACTCATGAAAAAGCACACCTATTAGGAATCAGTCTCCATAACTGGGAACTAAACACATAAATCCTAATCCAAAGAGTCATCCTGCATGCATATCATGAGATGGAGGAACCTACAGACTACTGATCAACCTGACTTAAGCTGAACATTCAGAAGTCTGAGAACAGGGATTTTGCTCCCACGTGCGTAAAATGTCCTGCAGCCAGGACAATACGCTGTGCAAAAATGAAGTGGTAGAAGATATGGCCCAATTTCCTTAGGCAGAAAATCTGGAATATGCCCAAGTGGGGCTCTGACAACCAGCTGGCTCTAGTTAATACTGACACTTCTTACTGACTTTTAAAATAGAGAGGTTGACCCCAATCTCGGAAGTCAGCTTGTAGGATGCTTCCTATTCATGATTTGGTAACCTGAAGCCCATCTGCTAGCATGCCCAGGGCTCTTGAAAGATATTCATTAAAATTTAGATTAGCTATCAGCTTCCACTGGTTAACTATTTCCCTGAATAAAGAGGAAATTTGGCATCATTCTTCTTTGCTAATGTAAAACAGTGGTGGCACTGCTCATCATTACAGGTACATGATGTATGTATCTGTACATATGATGGCTCTTCATATACTAGAGAAATGTCACACACATACACTTCTCAGTACCTGAAGAACAATGCAATAGTACCTAAACTGTTTTCTGCCAACAGTGACACACTTGAGCTGTCTGACTGCAGAAGCAAGCTTCTGAGCCAAGGAGAGAGATCTCAGCTTTATCAGCCTAGATAGTAAAGGTGGATGGAAGGGCTTCTTTGCCCAGTACCGGCTGTTTGCAATGATTATCTCATGGCAATTATCATCATGACTGGGGCACACACACTACAAAGCTCATAAGGTGTCAGAAAATATAGCCGGTTGGATCCATGCACATCTCTTCTAGATCGGTTCAGAACCTATCTCTTCCTTTTAGGGGAAGGTGCTTAACAGACCAGACTTCTTTTAGAAGAATCTACACGCTGCAGTAAAGAAAAGCCTTCAAGTTTTAGAACAGTCTGTGGCAGCTGCGGCATCAAACAATGCTTATAAGTGACACCTAACACTGATCTGCTCTAAGTGTATCAAATTCCTGACTGCACAGCAGAAGCTTTGCAAACATCAGCAAGTACTTGAAGTTCTTGCAAGCTTACCTTAGTCAAACAGACATGAAAGCTGAGTCTGAGCTTTCACAAAACAAGGAAAGACAGACATCTGCAGTTCCAGATGCTATCTTAAGGCTCTGCTGGTGCACAGGACAAGTTTGAATAGTGGTTAGGGACAACAGTTTTGTTTCAACACTGTTCTACTGACAGCAGAGAGCAGTCGTCTCTGACGGGTACAGTGACACACAGTGAAACAATCAAAAATTCCTAACCGAGACCTTCTGAGGCTAAAAGGAATTTTGGGAACGCATTCTCCCCTTACTATACAGCAATCGCTTTTTTTTTCATAGACACTAAAATGATATTGACATCTTGTGCTCTAAGTAGATATTCCTGGAGGTGAATCTGTCATTCTTGAAGGAGATATAGTCTAATTTAATATAAACAGATCTTCTTTTGGGCAGGAACATAAATTTCATGCAAACAGTAACATCTGATAGGTCACAACTGCTGTCTGTAAATTTAAAAACATGTCCATATGCAACTTATAAAACTCACTGAAGAAGGAAAAACTGAAAACATGTAATGCCTTTGCCAGGATAACTTGGCATTTCAGGACTACACAAATATACAAAAGTCAAAGTTACCACCAGAAGAAAACTTAGTAACACAGAAGAGGGAAAAAAGGCCACAAAGATCTGAGAAGCAATTGCAATTCTGCCAGGCTGAAAATATCACAGAAACAGGATTTACTATACTTCCCTCTGTTTCTCTGGCTTGCTGTGAAAGTCGAACCTGGGGAAACGGATTTCAATTTAATATGGTCAATAATTCTAGTAACAGTATCTGCTGAAATATCAGGATTTCTCTGGAAAGTGATCTGGGAAAAACAGAACATATTCTTTAGCGGGGGGAACGTGTTCCTTTCAATTATGACTCAAAGTACTCTAAATGTGTGATATAGCAGAATGTTACTCCCATCTCATGAGGTAAGCAGAGAAGTCTGTCATCTACTGCTGGGGAATGCACACATCTCCCCCAGCAAAACGGCAAGGATAAAAACAGCTACTAAAATAGCAACGTCTACGTAAACACTATGCGTAAATGGAATACCCAAAACTGACTGAAAGGAGAGCTAAGGAGGAAGATGACCCTTCTGCTGGATTAAATGGGGGGAAGAGGACTCCACTTGACCGGAAGCATAAAAGAAGCTTGAAGATCTGTAACCGTGGGGAGAAAGAAGAGGGTACCAGAGCAGCAGTCAAAACCTGGCTTGATGCCATCAAACGTCACCCCACCAGCAGCCCATCTCTGCCTAGGCCAGACAGAGCTGCCTCCTGGTCAGATGCTGAGGTGAACCTGTGCCCAGCAAGGACAGACATCATGGGGAGCAACATATACGTCCCACATCTCAGTGCGCACGTGTGACCTCGGGGGTGCTTTCTACCAGCATGCATGTTAACAGGCTGCAGGAAGCAGCACGGGGACACGGAAGCCAGAGCACCCATGTCTCCCACGGGAGGCGTGTGCAGCTAAGGCACTCGCATTCCCAGGGGAGGTGCGTGTGCTCGTAACCCACACCTCCCAGGGGAACTGGGTCTGTGGGACAAGAACTTATTTGAAAGCATACTCACGTTTCAAAAGCTGTATATAAATTTTAACACTATTTTAAGGCTTGATTACTCCTCATTTCTCTTGAAGGACTGTAGAATACAGCTTATTTTAATTCCATGATACACTACTGCAACTGACAGCTAAAATAATAGCTTCCTCAGTTATTAGGAAACAAGACTTTGTTATCAGGAAAAAAAATTCACAAAAATGCCACTAGAGTATGCATTGCCATTTCCAGCTAACCCAGAGCTGATGAACATGCTCATGATGTCAGCATATTTTGAAGTACAGCTATTTTGTTCTTTGGTTCTCATATTCTTAAGAAGTTTAATTAGCACCACATAATATATGACCCGGATAAACATACTGCCATGAAACATAAAAGTTTAGGTCATATTTCCAAAAAACTTACTACAAAGACCACATATAGCTGTAAGCAGACCTACTGATTTACCCAAATGACGACTACAAAGAAGATCCTCTGGTAATGAGAATCTCAAATTCAGTTTTATTTTCCTCTTATGATCTCATTTTGAAATGTCACTCTGAAAGATTTTTTTTTTTTTAAAGCATTCTTTGTGAAATTATTTTAACAAGAATTAAAAAATGTCCTTTCATTGCATTTGTTTACAGTACAAGCTACTCCATCAGCTGCTTCTGCTTATCAGAATTCAGGGAGTGAGCAAAGGATACTCCAGATAAAGTTTGAGGAAAAAAAAAAAAACAAAACAGAAATTTTATTTATCTTTATATATGTATATACATTATATAAAGAAACGTAATTCCCCCCCCAAACAGTAGTAGTAAAGAGGTGACATTTAAAAAAAAACAAACAAAACCACAACCTAAGCCTCTTTTTGATAAAATAAGGTAACCATTTTTTACTTAAGTTTGCCTACATCTTCACAATTGGTACATGAACTACAAACCAGTCTGCACACAGAAAGTTATGTCTGTGAGTCATGGTTGACTGCTAGAACTATTATTTATTCTCTTAGACTCCAGAAGGACTTTCTCGGATTGGAACAAAGCAGAGTACAGAAAACAGGTATTCCAAGAACAACATGTTTAAAGATCACTACATTTAAATTTGTTATAGGTATTTGCAGCTTCACTCAAAAAGTTGAATTCTTACAAGAATTGAGATCACTAGCTGAGATCTCATCTCCTGGGAGTGCACTAATGGTTGCTAGAAAAGCAAGAGTCTATACACATGTATATTAATATTATACACACACAAATGTAAAGCACTCAAGTTTCTGAAAAACATCCACAACATGTTCAATTGCTTCTTCTGTCCAGAGAGACTTGGAATGGCCAGCCAATTACTTTTATTATTTCTCCTACAGCAGAATATGACTAGCTTCAACTTGGAAACTGCTTCAATTAAATTTGAAGCATTTAAGAAGCAACTTCTGCTAATACGTTAATTCAAAAGACATGGTTGCTCTAAGACCATTCTAAGACCATAATTTCCAATTCTTTAGCTAAGAAAAATCCAGCGATGTTGAATTTTTTTTCTTGCGTTAAGCGTGCTTATCCTCCTTAAGCCTTGCTTTATTATTATTAGATACAAGGGAAAAAATATTCAGTCCTTACAGGTGGTTTTTTTTCTTTATTTTTCTAAAGAACAGATTCTGTTTTATCATCTCATTTTCTGATAATGAGGTCTCTAGGGCTTCTACCTTACACAAATGCAGAAGTTAAGAAGATACAGACTAAGAATTCTGATTTGCACTACTGAACGCAATCTACCCCTTCCCTGTTTATGCCTGTTTGGCTACAAGTAAGAGAGAGTATTCCCAGAAAGGATTTCAAAATAGCTACTTTTTAATTTTGAATTATTTAATAGATAAATTCTTCTGCTGATTCAGTCTGAGACCAAATGGCTCTTCTTACTGGCTTGAGAACAACTTTGATCTGAACTCATAATGAAGTATATTCTTTAACAAGCCCTGAACTGCTGTCAGGTCTCAATACAAATACAGCAGCCTCCTTTGCTACCTCAGGGAATTCCATTTGTCTCCAGAAAACCTTCTGGCAGAAATAAAACTAGACCTACTTTCCCCACAATAGAGAAATAATAATTTTAATATCTTTTTTTTTTTCCTTCTATGTGACATTTTACAGCAACAGTTCTAAGTCCCTTCCATATCATACTCCTATATTCAGATAGGAGAAAGTAACAAGACTCACCTACTCATAAAAATGGAAATGATCACAATTTTCACAAGCTGAAAACACATGCTCAAAGGTTAGCAAATGCATGCACTGTTACTACATGCTTTTAGTTATTCTTTTGGAGGAAATTCTCATAACAAATTTTGTCTGTTGAATGATCCACTGAGAGCAAAACAAAGTACACGTACAAATACACCACCTCTGGCTCTGGAAAAAAAAATATCTGTGAGTCGTGACTAGTCAAAGCTAGTGAGACTCTGGAAAACTGTCACTACGTACTTCTCTTGTTCTTTCACACTTCTCCAGTTGTCTGCTATTAGCCAATGTCAGAGGCAGGAAACTAAGCAAGACAAATCTTTGGACTGACTTCATCCAGCTATTCTTATGACTTTAATTTACATGAAAGTTGAAAAAAAAAAAAAAGATTATTTGCTTATCCTCTCATCGATGGCTTTTAACTTTTTCGAGATAATTAACACGAAGAATTAATTTCAGAGAAAAGTCTTCTTACATTTTTCAACAAACCAAAGCGAAAACACATCCAAAAGCAAGACCACAGACAACTTTTAATTTATTTTCTTGATTTGTCACCTTCTTTCATATTTTCAAAAGCCTTCTATTAATTCTGAGTGCTCACTGTCACAGGATTTGATTTATATTAGATTCATTTCACTTGAATGAGCACTTGAAGAGTTAGGAACAAACTGTAATCAAACCGCCCTTTCACAGTTATTACCAGTCTTGGAAAGTAGGAGGTGGAAAAAGACCTAGAAATCTCTCCATTTCATCTCATTAACGTAAGACTGGCTGTGATCCAGTGGTCAAAACAAACATCCATGTAACACCACATCCTTTCTCCAAAAGCTGCCAACAGAAAATAGTTGGGAAAAATACGACAACAGGGCAAGTATTTTAATGATATAGCCACAGAATATTCTCTCATCCTTCACCACTTCAGTGCTCAGGAACTTACTGAGCTAGCAGCCCTTAGTATTTAAGAGCCATTGATGACTTTTCTTCTATGAATTAGTCCAGTTATTTTTTTAACTCACAAATTTTTAGCTGCTGCAGTGTCCTCTGACATGGAAATCAACAGCTTGCTGCTGTTAGCATCAACCCTAGAGTCGTGTATTCCCCAATTTCAAACATACTGTCCTGGTTTCGGCAGGGATAGAGTTAATTTCTTTTCTAGTAGCTGGTACAGTGTTTTGGATTTAGGTGAGAACAAAAGTTGATAACGCACCGATGTTTTAGTTGTTGCTAGGTAATGCTTACACTAGCCAAGGACTTTTCAGCTTCCCATGCTCTACCGACTGAG